CAAGTTCTCCATGACTGCCAAAGAGGTCAAAGACCTTAATCCTTTTTGCCATCATCACGTTTTAGGATGGGGGGGAGCAAGTTTACGGGCCGTTACATCCAGGACTTTGAATTTTAGTTAACCAGACCTGTCCTATGAAAATCATTAGGAAGCGGACACATATCAAAGTCAGGTACCCGTTGCTATAAAGTTTAACCAAGGGGGCGGTCACACACACAAGATAAAGCAGGGGGGAAGCGAGGTTATTTCCTCCGGAGGAATTTGACCCACAGTTGCACGATCACACAGTCCTTGGAAGCTGCAGGCACAACCCGCCACTGTGTGATCAGACGCAACCGCAGGTGAGTAATTTGTTGTTGTTTTTTGCTGTTTGTTTCCGATGCACTTACACGAGGAATCGATGAATCGCATCTCCACACTGAGGTCTCCCTATGGAGTTTGCAATTATGTGCATACTGAGAGGGAGGGGGGGGAAACAACAGCATGGAGTCGGGATGGCCTAATCAGACCATCCTGATGCCATGAGAGCGTGCTGGAGTGATCAGACACGGGAACCTCCGTCCGTGGCCCGTCACAACCTCTTTACTATCGGATTTCCCCCAGTGTCTTTTTACTCTGCTTTGCGGCGGAGCAAAACGGTTTGCCAACAGGTGCGGGATGCTTTCCAGATGTTCGTGTCTGATCGTGTCCTTTAAATCCAACCGGCATATGGCAGGCTAATTATGCGTGTGATCACGCCCCAAGCTATCAAAAAATATGCAGAGATTTCTCATGACTGCACCCTTTAAAAAAAAATCTTAATAGCAGCAATAACTGCTGCAAATGCTCATCATGAAATCTTCCTTTTTAAGTGCAAAACTTCACTTGTGGATGTCACCCTGTGGCTTAATTTCACATTTAAGACCATAGATGCACACCAGTGCTGGTGTGTTAAAAAAAATACACTTCTGCAGTAGTTGTGTGGCTGGCTTCAAAAACTGCAAGACAAAGCCAGGATGAACTAAAAGCCTACAGCCTCCTTAACTGACAACATTCACCTGGCAATGCTCTAATTTAAATAAGGACAACAAACAGATTTAAGCATCCTCAGTGGCTGCCCCATGCTTTACAATTTTCTTTCTCTATAGCAGGGGTGTCAAAGTCATTTGTTACAAGGGTGGGAGGGACTATGCAATCAGACCAGAACTCCAGTTCAGTTGCCATCTTACAGGTATTTAGGAGACAAGATAAATTACTGCAGAACCTGACAAATACTGGAACACCTTCTCAGACAGCCCTGTCTTGTGACAACAGTTAAGGAAACTTACTACATGCAGAAATTATTTCTTTTTCACAGAAAGACACCATAAACAGTCACTTTTTTCCTAAACAAACAAACAAATACCTTTTATTGGCATAAACACTTTTTTTCTAAGTATCTCTGCATTAGAAATGTATATCTGTTTTAGAACAATGTAAATGGTATGACCTCCCAAAGAATCTTAGAAATTGAAGTCTGATTGAGAGCACTGAGTATTCAAGATTAGTTCAGCTCACATCCAGCTCACCAGTCATGAGTAGGGAGCTGATCTTTTAGGGACATGTTCAGTTGTATCTGGGTTATTTCAGACACTTCCAATGTGTAGTTACTCTGCTTTCTCATATGGTTATTCTGTTTGTTTGTTTTACAGCTGCTCTCCTCACCACCCATCTGCCATTACCAACTCTAAATTTTACAAAGTACATAAATTTGAAAAAAAATCAGGTTGAGATTTCTGAGCTAGAATCATAGAATGTTAGAGTTGGAAGGGACCTTGCAGGTCATCTAGTCCAACCCCCTGCACTCTGCAGGAGTATACTGAAAGATAGCCCTACATACCTACAACATACCCAAAAGATGGCCGTCCAGCCTCCGCTTGAAAATGTCCAGCGAAGGAGCATCCACCACCTCCCGAGGCAGACTGTTCCACTGCTCAACCACTCTTACAGTTTCTCCTGATATTCAGCCGGTAACGACTCCCTTGTAATTTCCACCCATTAGATCTAGTCTTGCAATCCGGAGCAAGAGAGAATAGATCTGCTCCATCTTCTACTGCAATCATGTCCCCTCTAAGCCTTCTCTTTCCCAGGCTAAACATACCCAACTCTTTCAGCCTTTCCTCATAAGACTTGGATTCCAACCCCCTCACCATCCTGGTTGCCCTCTTCTGGACACGCTCAACATACCCAACTCTTTCAGCCTTTCCTCATAAGACTTGGATTCCAACCCCCTCACCATCCTGGTTGCCCTCTTCTGGACACGCTCAAGCTTGTCAACATCCTTCCTAAAATGTGGTGTCCAAAAGATCCCTTTCACATGTGCTGCTGTCAAGCCAAGTCCCTCCCATTCTATATCTGTGCCTTTGATTTTTTGTACCTAAGTATAGGACCTTGCACTTCTCTCTATTGAAATTTATTTTATTTGTCTCTGCTCACTGTTCCAGCCTATCTAGATCATTTTGAATCCTGACTCTGTCTTCTTCAGAATTAGCAATCCCACCTAACTTCGTGTCATCTGCAAATTTGATAAGCATCCCCTCTATGTCTTCCTCCAGGTCATTTATAAAAACATTGAACAACACTGATCCAAGGACCGAGCCTTGCGGCACTCCACTCGAGACTTCCCTCCACGTAGACACAGAGCCATTTACGAGCACTCGTTGGGTACGATTTTTCAACCAACCATGAATCCATCCAACGGTTGCACCATCCAGCCCACACTTAACCAGCTTATCCTCAAGGATATCATGAGAAACTTTGTCAAATGCTTTACTAAAATCTAGATACACTATATCCACAGCATTGCCAGAGTCAACCATTTTGGTAACTCTGTCAAAAAAGGAGATAAGGTTGGTCTGGCATGACTTATTCTTGATTCACCCATGCTGGCTACTACCAATTAACTCATTCCATTCAAGGTGCTCACAGACAGAGTGTTTAATAATCTGCTCTAGAATTTTCCCAGGTATTCATGTCAAACTGACAGGCCTGTAATTTCCCGGGTCTGTCTTTTTTCCCTTCTTGAAGATAGGGACAACATTTGCTCTTTTCCAGTCTTCTGGCACAACACCAGTACTCCAGGACATCTCAAAGATTAGAGCCAGAGGCTCTGAAATAACATCTGCAATTTCTTTTAGCACCCTGGGATGCAAACCATCTGGCCCTGGAAATTTGAAAGTATTTAAGGCAGCTAGATGCTCTCTAACCATTTCCTTACTTACTTTAGACTGGCAATTTCTCCTTCCTTCATATGCCCTGCATTCTTCTGTTTGCATACAGCTCGCCTTACGGTTAAAGACTGACACCAACTGAGAGTTGAGTAATTCCACTTTGTCTTCATCCCTTCTTAAGGCTTGACTGTCTTCCCCTAGCAATGAGCTTACTCCATCCCTGTTCTTCTATTTGCTCTGAACATAGGCATAGAAATTGTTCTTGTTGTTTTTAGCATCCCTCGCAAGCCTCAGCTCCATCTGTGTTTTAGCCTTTCTGACACCATCCCTACAGATTCGAGCCTGCTTCTTGTACTCACTCTCAGTAATCTGACCCTCCTTCCATTTCCCCTTTTTAGTCTCAGCTCTTCAGAGATGTTTGTACACCTTTGGAATCTGCCCACAATCTTAACTAATCCTGCTATCGCTTCTTGAAAGTACTTCTTGTACAGGTACTGCTCACTGAGCAATACACTGCCTAAATGTTGGTCATTAAAGGATGTATCTAGCTGAGCGGGAGCAAAGAGAGGATGATGAAACGCAGACAATTCCATTCACAACACAATTTCATCAATATAATGACCCAACCATGACCCTGGGCGATACTGCCTCTCCTCCAATAAATGAAATTATGTAGTTCTTGAGCAGGGCAAAATCTTCAGCTAGCTGCAATAACCCAGTCCTATAACACAAGCAGCTACTGCACAGATTCAAAGCTACTCAGCATGGTATTATGCCCAAGATGAATTTCACCAGAGAGCACTGAAGTTATCAGAAGCTCATCTCATATGTAATCAAAGAGTCTAAGCAAGGTTAAATTCACCTGGACATCATGTTTGTGTCTCAGAATATTTGTTGGAGATCTTTCATCCCCTACCCTGCCCAAGAGGGATCGTTGCCAAGGGAACAGCAAATGACTTAGGGCCTTTGTCAGTGGTCAATATTACTATTGCAAAACAACACACATCCAGAAATAAATATATGAAAAAAGATTCTCATGTGATGTGCAATTGCTAAAAGTTTACACAGTAGGCCATGGATAATCTCTCATGGTAACACCACACACTCTCCAAATTGTTCTGGTAACAAATATCCAATGTGTCTGGATATGTGTCTCTTCCATCAAAGGGGCAGAAATGTGTGTGGTCTACTGGCCATAAGATATACCCATGAATTGTATAACCTATTTTATCTTTCACTAATGTGTACACCATAAAAATATCTGTATTCTTATAATAACTTATTTTGTTAGCTTGACCCTCACATACAGGTAGCTAACCCAGATATTGACATATTTCCTTGGCATGGCCCAAAAAATGTAGGAGAGGTTATATTTTAAAAACCACATTTTCTAATTACTGCTAACACAAAACCTAACCTTAAGCTCTTCAGAGTTTCTTGCCATTTTATTTAATTCATTAAAAATGTGCTATTGTATATAAATATGGGGGTAAACCTTGGTTGCCATGAAAAAAAAAGTATAACCTCTAATCCTAAATGAACATGTCTCCAGTTCCTTATAATTTTGCCATTACTTTACAAAACTATTTAACTGAATATTAGACCAGTACAGAAAGCAACCAGTTAAGAAATGAATCCATCTACCACAGCTGGGTGGCATGAGGTGAATATATAATCAAACCACAACAACATCATGCACATAGAGGCACTGAGAACCACGGAGAAATTTCTAGGTGCCATGGCAACCTGGCACCTGGGATTTGCCAAGCCCTGAGTTAACCTTCAATTACATAACAAAGCATAACAGCTGCCTTACCATAGTGATGACCCCTCCGTTCCTGTAACTTCTAAAAAATCATATCCATCTTCCAGCTGAAAATCCGTAAACACCAATGCGATGGTGTCCCCAGGCTCCGCTAGAATGGTCCATGTGCAATCGGCATTGTTGTTATACTCTGAAGGGTAATGGGGAGTTGAAATAATTCCACTCTGCCCCCGAAGGGTCCCACCACATGCATCGTCAGCTGAAAAGGCAAACACAAAGGTAAGCTAAGTGTGTTTTGCTACAAAGTACAAATGTTCAGTCCATTTGTTCTGCAGGCTAGTGTAAGACAGCCCAACTCGGAGGCTTTTTAAAGGAGTTGGGAATTATCACCTGACCAGGTCTGGCCAATTGTCACCAAGATGCTTCCTTACTGGTATCTACCTAGTTGCTCTGGGCAGAAATAGCTAGTATATAAAAGAATGGCACAGTGTTAAGAATGAGATAACATTTTTAGTGGTTATCTAACATTCATTAAACTTTCCAAATATTAATCTCACAAAGATATACCATTCTTAAAGGGACAGTACAACACTCCAAAGGTAATTACAAAGGATGCTGAAGTCTCTAATTATTTTTGTTCTTTTCTTCCAGATTCCTGAAGAGATCCTCAAGCTTCCCACTGACCAAACGTGTTACTGGTGTAGGTGCATTTTCGCAAACTTCCTCAAAGTTGCATGCAATCTGAAAATGTCACATGGAACTATAAATAAAATTAACATTAACAAAAAAACCTAATTCAAAATACCTCATTTGTAATTGCATTTTATTTATAGTAAACTCACCCCAAAATATAATTAACAGCCTTTCTCAGATCTTGCAAACTGAAGGCCTTAGCTTCCTTTATTGAGCTAATCCCTCTCATCCAGATCATGTGTGTGTGTGTGTGTGTGTTTGTGTGTAAAGTGCCATCAAGTTGCAGCCAACTTCTGGTGATCCCAGCAAGGGGCTTTCAAGGCAAGTGAGAGGCAGAGATGGATTGCTATTGTATTTTATTTCATCGGGTGTTACATGAGGCCAATCAGGTATGTCCTCAGACCGAAACTCTGAGGGATCCATAGTGCAGACATCATCCTGATGGAATAATGTCAAAAAATATTGATACCACATTTGGGGAGAAATAGCAGACATAGAGGGGGCCTCCGCATGACATGACCCCGAGACTATGGCCCAATTTTTTTTGTTGTATTATTTAAAATCGTGGCCTGGTATAATTGTTCCCATTGTGTATTAATATATTCAGTCTTCTTTCTGTTCATACTCTGTTGTAGTTGGCTCTTAAGTTTAAAGTATTCTATCAGGAAAAAAGGGTCAGCGGTCTCATGGTATTGTCTGAAGACATTGCGTAATTGGGTTTTTAGGTATCTACATTCCCTATCAAACCAGACATTTATAGGTCTACTACTCCCCATTTCCATTCTCAAGTTCTTTGCCCAGTGACGTAGATATGTGAGACCTTAAAGCATTATAGGCTGTGATCACTGGTGAATGTTGATTTGCATCAATTAAGGAGGATCTATACCAGGGGTGGCGAACACGCGGCTCTCGAGCCGCATGCGGCTCCCGGCCAAAATTAATGTGGCTCTTTGCCTCTTATCATCATTTTGTATATTGTGGCTCTGTCGCGTTCCTCCTTGGTCTTGGGGGTGGCGCCCCCAGTGGCCGTTGTGGCACGACGTGAGTGGGCCTCGTGAGGAGCGGCGTGGCTCTGGAGGCGAGGGTTTGGAAAAGACGGGGTAGAAGAGGACCTCAGAATGGCAGGGGGCGGGGTTGACGTCACCCCGAGCGCCCCTCTGCCGACACTCCCGCACGACCTCTGGCACGCTCCATCTCTCTTTCCTCCCCCCTCCCACTCCCGGGCCACACCACTCTTCCACTCCCGGCCCCGCCCCCCCTTTAACAGAGGAGACGCGCGCCGCCGGGTAGACGCCCACCGGACACGCGCTCCCTGTCATCCGGTCGCCGTTGAGGCCGCGCCGCCGGCCCTGCTCCCCTGTCGCAGCTTCTGTCACGCGTCTCGGGCCGGGGCTCTCGCCCCCGCGCCCGAGCGCGTCCTGCGGTCGTCTCGTGCAGCCGGGCGTCTTCTGGGGAGGTTCGGCGTTGGGGCGCTGCCTCCCTCTCCCGGTCTTCGGCGCTGTGTGAGTGTTTGTCTGTTTTGGCAGGTCACTGCGTGGTGTGGCTCTCTGACTCTCACAGTTTAAATTTTTGGCTCTTTTTGTCGAACTTGTTCGCCACCCCTGATCTATACTTTAGAAGTAGGTTTGATTTGAGTAATGATTGGGATTTTTTGCATAGAGCTATGATTCCATAAGATTCTAGGCAGAGCTTGTCAGGTTGGTGTTGGAAATAACGTTGGGTTCTAGTAAAAGGGCTAACATTGAGAATTAAAATAAGTGGAAGATGGTCACTGATTATATAATCACCCACAGTGAGTTCTAGAACATGAGATTCCAATGAAGGGGAAACTATAAAATAGTCAATTACCCTGCAGCCCTTTGTTGAGACAAATGCATATTCTCCAGAGTTGGGAAAGTTGGTAAGCCCATTAAGCCAAACTTTATTAAATTGAAGACAAAGTCTGGTGAGATAGATGCCTGCCAAGTTTATATGGCGATCTCTGGAGTACCTTGTAGAAGTGAAAATAGATGGGAGTGTATCCTATTGTATTGCTCTACTGAGTCTTCCCTGAAGGTCTCCTTTCTAAGTACCGACCCTGCTTAGCTTCCATGCTGCCTTCCCTCTTGTCAGACTCTTGAACAAACTTACTCTCAACAACACTCTAGATAGTGATTTGTTTATTGAGAGATGTGAATATATCAAGCTATATCAGAACTACCTCCTTTGGTGCCAGTTACAGAATTATACAGGATCCAAACAAGCCCCCCCCCCAATGTCCCATCCAATCAATCCATTCACTCAACCCGGCTAAACCTAGTGATCTCTGTTAGCCTTCCTCCCCCACCTGCAAACCTACAGTTACATTACCTATGATAGGCTGGCTAACAGAGACAGGCATTCTAGGTCATTCACATACTTCCCATTGGGGAGGCCTCTTACGAAAAGAGTTCCCAAGCAGCTAAGTGAAGCAATTTTCCACACATGCACTCTCACCATCTCTCATGCACCACCTCCCCCATGCCTAAACACACAATCCAACCAATGTGGTTTACAGGTCATGAAACGAACATACAGAACCCATGGCAAACAAGGCTCCGAGTTTGACATTCTGCCCCCCCAAAAGACCCCTCACCCCCCTGGTTTGTCTAGGTGATGCCCCAAGTTCCAAGTCTGAGCCTTCTTCAGCAGGTGATTCATCATCGCTCCATTTGTCCTCATCATCTTCTCCCGCTGGTCCCGATTGCTGCCTCAAAAACTCTCGTACTTTCATAAGAGTTAATTTTTTTTCTTTCTTGTCTTCATATTTGAAGAGTAATCCTTCCAGTAGAATCCATTTGTAAGAGATGTTATTATTTTGTAAAAACACTGCCAAGTCTTTGTATTTATTCCGTTTTTTTCCTTATTTCAAAGGGAATGTCTTTTAGAACTCTTATCTCATTACTGTCAATTTTAAGGGTAGTTTCACTTGTAGCTTTTAGGATCTGGTCCCTCAGTTGTCTTCTGGAGAACCTCACCACCACCTCCCCGGGCAGATTATTTTTCTTTATAAATTGTAAATATGACCTATAGATCACATCCATCTCACTTAAAAGGAAATCCTCTTTTAAATCTGCAACCAGTCCCAAAACATCAGCCATAGTCTGTTTGAGGTTCTCCCCTTTAATCTCAGGAACCCCCTAAAACCTCAGGATAAAGCTTGCCTTTTCCATTTGAAGTTGTAGTAATTGCGCTTCATCAGAGTTTCTCTTCTTTTCCATCTCTTGCATTTGTTTTTTAAGCTTTTTTGTAGTGGTATCCACTTCTTTCAAATTCTCTGCTGTTTGCTCTGGGGTTTTTTCAGATTTGTTTAGTTCTTGTTGTTGTGCGGCAAAATTTTTGTTGAGCGTTTTCATTTGCTCCAGCAGGGGTCACAAAGCCTCTGTTAGCCTTTTTGAAAAGCCCACTTCTCCAGAGTATTCAGGTCTTGTTGAATTTTAACTCTATCTTCTTGGGTGTCTGCTACTCCTCCCAATTTGGTATCATCAGCAAATTTAATTAGTAGCCCTTCTACCCCATCTAGATCATTGATAAAAATACTGAAAAGTACTGGGCCCAAAACTGAGCCCTGCGGCACCCCGCTGGACACCTCCCTCCAATCTGATGAAACGCCATTGACCACCACTCTTTGGGTGTGATCCACTAGCCAGTCCCCTATCCACTGAACTGTCGACTCCAGCTTTGGATTCTTTTGGGCTGCTAGGCCTGGAGGAAGTCAACGGATTGCTCAAGACTGTACGCCCAACCACATGCAACTTTGATCCGCGCCCTTCGTGGCTGATTAAAGCCGGCACGAGGGGTTTCGTGGTGCCCTTAGGGAGATTACCAACAAGTACCTTGAAGAGGGACGGTTCCTGGGGGCACTCAAGAAAGTGATGCTTCACCCTCTCTTGAAAAAGCCATCTCTGGATCCGACCGAATTGGCCAACTATCGGCCGGTTTCTAATTTGCTCTATTTGGGAAAATTAATTGAGAGCTGGAGAGCTATCTGGATGATGCTTCTGTATTAGATCCCTTCCAGTTCAGCGTCTGCCAGGGACATGTGTCGGAGACAGCGCTAGTCACCCTTACTGATGACCTCCGGAGGCATCTGGATTGGGGCGGTTTGGCAGTGTTGCTATTGCTTGATCTGTCGGCCGCATTTGATACAGTCGACCATCAGCCGACGTGGGGATACAGGGGCTTGCCTTGCAGTGGCTTGTTTCCTTTCTCCAAGGTCGGGAACAAAGGGTGGCACTAGGGGAACAGCAGTCCCAGGAGGCACCTGCTTGAATGTGGAGTGCCTCAGGGGGTGGTGCTTTCCCCAATGCTCTTCAATATCTACATGTGCCCCCTTGCCCAGATTGCCCGGAGGTTTGGGCTGGGATGTCACCAGTATGCTAATGACACCCAGCTCTATCTGATGTTGGGCAGTCAGTCAGACTCCAGACCAGAAGATCTGGACCAGGCCGTGGCTGGTTGGCTCAGGCTGAGTTGGCTGAAGCTAAACCCGGCAAAGACGGAAGTCCTGTGCCGCCTTCGACAGGGCACCATTGGTGCCTACGCCGG